TTTAATAGTGATCAATGTTGTTTCCATACGTACTTCTGGGAGAGACTTGGTGTGTGCCACCTCGAACTCGTCTCCCCGATGTCGTTCGTCTGTCTTGGTGGAACGGGGGAGGAAGTCGTGCTGGCCTTTGACTCCCGAATGTCAAGGTGGCCCGAGTTGGTTGGATCTGTTATCTTCTAACCTGTTACACGGACAGACTTACCCAAGAAGAAAGACGTCGCCTTACAACCTTGGTCACCCTCAGTGGTCCTAAACACCTTTGTTGTACTCTGTACCCAGACGGACGGACCCATAGTTTGCCAAGTCCGACCAACCCTTGCCTTTCTATCATCTTGAATCAGTCTGGCCATTCTCCTCTGACCTCTGGCATCAACACGTCTCCCAGAGAACGGCCGCTCACTGGATGTTTCCCTTTTTCGGACCATTCTCTTTAAACTCTAGAGATGGTTGTGTGTGAAAATCCCAGTAGATCATCAGTTTGTGAAATACTCAGACCGACCCGCCTGGCACCACCATGCCACGTTCCAAGTCACTTAAATCCCCTTTCTTCTTTCTTTGAACTTCACCAGGTCCTCTTCACCACGTCTACAGGCCTAAAGGCATTGAGTTGCTGCCATGTGATTCGCTGATTAGATATTTGTGTTAACGAGCAGTTGAACAGATGAACCTAATAAAGTGGCCAGTGAGTGTATTTTTAATATGCTAGGTGTGTTACTGATGTGGGGAGATAAAAACATAGTTATACATACATATATATATATATTTTATCAAATATTTACTGAAGTCGTCATAGTCAGTACATATATATTACTTTGTAAGTTTTTGTTAAACTAATGTTATATAACAACAGAGATAAAAAGGCAAAGACTGAACAGGTTGTTAAATCCAACACTCCAACAGCAGGCAGAACAGTGAGGAGCTGTTTCCATGGTAATAACTTTCCACAAGCACCACTAACTGTACGATTCAAGTGAAAGTGACACAAAAGAATCCAGCTTTAAAGGGTCTGTCGTTTTAATTTAAAATGTATTTCTGCATTGGACCCATAAAACAAAAAAAGAGAAGACATGCTGATCATTTATGATTAATTACATAAAAAAATACATTTGAAACGTTTTTCCCCATGAAGTTTCTGTATCAGGCTGTGGACGGCCGGTGTGTTTCTGGAAAGTGACTCTGTGGCGCCACCATGTGGACAAACCAGTCATTGTGTTCTGACAGCTCAGAGAGCTGAGAGCCTGATTGAGGTTACATCATATTCAATGACTCACTCAATCATTCAGAACTGAAGACATTTGGGATTTCTAAGAAACTATTGCATTTTTTATATTTTCTGCTACTCCACACACACAGTTGCTTTTAAATCACATGTTATAGCTCTTGTAATTGTTCTTATTCCCAGAAATCATTTAGCTCTCACTCATCCGTCCGGACATCATTCACTGAACTGATGCTACTTTTTAGCAGTGGTTGCCCAACAATGGCCGGTCACATAGACACGTGTTGCTATGCACCCCCACACACTCACACTTGCTCACACACACAGTACTTTAAGTGTGCAGTTTGTGTTTAAGATGGCTCAGTTGCTCCATGTCCATGCTGCTGCCCCCGCACACGATCACCAGAAGGGGGCCGAGGGGGGCCGGCAGCCGGCCTGAAGGAAGAGAAGAGCATCTGACCATCATCTGCAGGAGTCTCACGTTTTGAACATATTTTACACACAGGGCTCTCGTCTGAAAAGGTCTTATAATGTGCAGTAAAGCACCACACATAAGAGAAGAGCTGCCACGAGAAAAAAAAGACATGCTGGATTTCTGAACCATATAGTGATGTCTCCTAAATCCAGTCTCACACACAGCGTCAGTGTTTGTGTTGTAGAGGAGTGTTTCTGAAGGTGAGGAAGACTCCAGAGCATACCTTCATCCTGTAATCTGTGTACGAGTCCGCTGTAGACGGCTGCCAGTGCTGCTCCACACGCCATCTCCACCAACACACGCTCCTCATCTACAAAAAGTATTACGTTTAGGATTTTTAAAAAGTCATAGAAATTGTAGAAGTAAAAAGCTAATGTTAGGCTATAAAGGAACTACATGACGGTCACATGACTTCAAGTCACCACCGCTGAGCTAAAGGCGGCTAATGTTTGCCGTGGTCACGTTTAGAACTCTCATCTAGACACTTGTTAGCAACCACTGTTTTTATGACACAAAGAAGCTTCAGAGGTGTTTTTACTGATAAATTGTGTTTCTTGGAACAAAATGTGAAGAGTCCTACTCCTGGGACACGTCTCCTTGCTTTATGTTCAGAAAGCTCTTTATGTTCCTCATACTGCCTGTGCTGCAGCACCTCTTTTCACCCTCTGTCTGAAACCAGAGCCCAGTCTGCTCTGATTGGTTAGCTGGCTGGCTCTGTTGGGATAGGTCAACCGCTTAGAGATGTCCCGCCCTTCAGCCTAGGCACGGTGGGGGGGGGGCATTTACAAGCAGACCATTTAAAAGCACAAAGACCTATAGAACACACTGCAGGAAAGGGAAAACCCCAAACAACAGAATAGGGCTCTTTAAGGAAAACAAACACGAGCTAATATGAAAACAACTTCATTATAGAGGCCATGTTACCAGTTCAAGCAAAAGTAAGAATTTTCTTAGATGTGTTTGGGCTGATAAAAAGTTTTTTTTTAAGTTTTTAGAAACTTTTAAATCCACATTTAAGCAAGCCTCACTGACCCAGGAACGTCTCCACGGCGCTCAGAGCTTGCTGGTCCGTCACCAGCTCAGAGATGATGGAGATCTCTCCACTCTGACTGAACTCAAACGCCTTCCTACAAACCGTCTTCGCTCCGAGACACTTGGCCTCGCTGTGGAGACACAGAGGAGGGGGGGGTCGGTTGGGCTGCATTCAAAGACCGCAGGAAAGATCTGAACTCCTTTACCCTCTCACCTAGTGATGTCATCCAGCGTGACCAACCTCCCCGCTTTAACCGCAGCGCTGAAACAGTCGGCGCCCACCGTCTCCATAGCGATGACGGGTACATCCGTCCAGCCCACGTCCTTCAGGCCCTGGATGACTCCGCAGAGGAGCCCCCCCCCGCCCACAGACAGCAGCACTGCTCCAGGCTTCTCCTCCAGAGAGGCTGCCACCTCAGAGATCACACTGCTGTGGCCCTGCCTGAGAGGAGAGCACAATGTTATTACATTGTGAGTTTAGTAGTTTGATATTAGGATATTTGAATTGTGAGGAGTACCAGAGCAGGGGGTGGTCGAATGGAGGGACATAGGTGAGTCCTTCAGTCTCTGCCAGTCTCAGAGCCTCTGTATTGGCATCATCCCAAACCTGGGGAGAAGAACTGATTTGATTTTCTCTTCTTTTATTTGCATTTTTCCTTCATGTCTTTATTTAACAAGGACAGCATCTAAAAACAAATGTCTGAATAAAGAGAAGAGATCATTTCAGCCAGATTAAGCTATTTCCATTTGCAGTTCCTGGACATCTACCTGCACATCCATAAATAAAACTTAATATTACAACTAATGCCAACTGAACATTTTATATTAAAGTCAGGTTAGCAAGACTGGTTGCCTAATTTTTATATATTTTGCATTGTAAGAAAAAGTGTAAAAGTCTATGCATGTTTCAGCGCATGATAAGCGTAAATGAAAAAGCAAATTGTTCAAAGGCAAGCTCACACCTCAAACCAAACAATGGTGATGATATAAGCATGGTTGCTTTACTGAGTTGAGGGTCTGGCGGTTTTTCTAATAGACGTATTGTTTTAGGGAAAGGTGGAGTAAGATCACCTGCAAGGCTGTGATACACATTCACCATCTTACCCCAAAAACAAACATCTGAACATCTTGTGTTCATTCCCGTTCTAAAGAATGAAGATAAATGCAGATGGATCAGAAATATAAAACCAATGCACCTTTCCTGTGATGTTGACCGTGGCCCCCTGGTCCCTGAGCCTCTGCACCACCAGCTGAGGGGTGGAGGAGGGGACCACGATGGTGGCCGGGACACACATCTTCCTGGCTACGTACGCTGCTGCCATCCCAGCATTTCCACCTGGAGAACAGACACACTGGGAGGTATTACAGTCAGCATTGTTTTATTAAAATAGCATCACAAATATTTATAAAAACACAAGAAGTTCAAGTCTAAATGTGCAAATTGTACTACAATGTATAACACGTACAGGATTATATCAAATATTACAACAAATAATTATATATTAGACAACAATATTGTAGGGGTTGACTACTGGTGCTTTCATAACATATTTACGCAATTATATTTTTGATAAATGGCAGAATATTAAAGCTAACATTGCTCCTGAAGGCATGGTATAGATGCGGATGTAAGTTGTTTGGATAAGAGTGTGAGCTAAAATGATATACAGTATTGTATTGAAATATTTATAGTATGAACCTTTATATAAACAGTCTATGATATTAACATGAGTCACAGTAAGTGTCACCTGAAGAGCAGACGACTCCTTTAGAGTCTTTGGCCAGCTGTGGAAGAGAAAAGCATGTTAGTGTTACCTAAATGTTTAGCTGAGAGCAACATAATCACTTATCGGCTGTTGGAGCTATCTATTGATTTGTTATTAAATGGTTCAAATAATGTTTATAGTAAATGCATTATTATTTAGTGTAAGTATTTATACTTTTATTTTGAAGGAGGTTTTGGGCCACTCTGTAATATTTTAGGGCACCTTGTGATTATTATGTATTTGAGACGGGTGGTGGTGGGATTGGCGCACCAGACCAGCATATGGTTTTTTACCCGGAAATATAGGAAATGCCACAAGAGAAATGCGGGAAAGGTCACAGAAAATCATTGTTTTTGATGCAACGTATCATTGGAATACGATAAAATAAAGGAACAAAGACGACAATTTCTTGCCTGGACATTGACAATATTTACCTGCGTAACATTAGCTTACTGGTGCCCCAGCGAGAGTTTTAGTTTAAGTTAGATTTTCTATTTTAATGATATATTTAGCTGCTACATTGGCCTATAATTGAATTGACTCAGTGTCAGATAGTGGAGCTGGGGTTCCTACCTGCTGGCAGAGGTGGCCGATGCCTCTGATCTTGAAGGAGCCCGAGGGCTGAGAGTTCTCCATCTTCAGGAACACCGGGGTCCCCACACGCTGGGTCATGCTGACGCTCTCCAGCAGGGGGGTGTTCAGGTGGAAAGGCCTCGCCATGGCGCCAAGCCTTTGAACTGAAATGCTAAACTAAAGTAAAGAAGAGTGAGAAGTGCGATGACAACATCCACCTTAAAGGAAGAGGTAAGTGAGAAGACCTTTAGCTAAGGTTATTTTGGTTAAAGTAAAAGTCAGTAATAGTTCTCCAGTAATGGTGGCAGGAAGTTAGCAACAGGTACTTCAATGTGTCTCTAGGGAGAAGGAGAGTATTTCAGTAAGGTGAGGAGAAGGAACATTACTTTATGCCTACGTATTATTTGTACATATTATTAGCTGTCACAATGGTATTCCCTGTCCTATTGAGTCTTCAAAAACAATAGGAGATTAAATTGAATTTGTATTATATTCAATTATTATATATGATCTATTTTTGGATCACTGCTTGTTAAATATATGTATATTTTCTGATTCAATAACAAACACAACATACACATTTCCCACAAAATAAAGTTAATATTAGTAATTCGACATTTGAAACATTTTTATTTCAGGATAAAATAGCTATAATAAAAATCTGTTCAGAGATACATGGCAATAATCCTGGGCATTTCCATACAACAGTATAAATCATACCATGGTGGAATCATAGCGGAATGAATGGAAAGTGTATTGCCAATCTACTATTATACTGTACAGTACAACCATCTACAGAAAGCTTTTCTTTCATTCATTTAGATTATGTATTGTGTTTAGGGATAATTCATCCATTAGGTTTAAATGCATACTTTATTTTTAAGTCTTTAAGATCAGTAGAACATTAGTCCTTAAATAGGAGTGCATGAAAGCTAGCTCGTGTAGCAAGAGAGCATGGATGTATAATAAGCAAGAGAGCCATAGTAACCTCTCATGAATACTTGTAAGTAAGTAACGTGACGTAATGTTACAGAAAGGTAACCATTGAATGACGTGCATTAATAAGTTGACTCGTCTTTACATAACAGCGTGTTTCAACGAAGTAAAAGTTGACTTACGTTTGAATGAAACGTCAGGCTGAACGACCTTTTGGTCTTTACCTGATAAGGTGGTTAATTTGTTGTTGTTGTTGTTCTTCTTCTTCTTCTTCTTTCGTGTTTATTGGCGGTTGGCAAACCAACTTGTAGGTGCATTACCGCCACCAACTGGACTGGAGTGTGGACAAGAGCCTAAGCAGGAAAACAATAAACAAAGAAAACAAACAAAGAACCATTTAAAACTCTAGATTATTTTTAAATTTATCATTTCTCTTAGAAACTTAATAATCTCACATATATACTAGACACAACACTATTGCCTGATGGTATTTTCCCAATAGTCCTGATACGACAAGTCATGGAATTGTTGCTTTTCCTCAGTGTCTGGAAAAACACATTTCCTCTGAGTACATATATTTCCTGCAAAGCAGTAAAACACATGCCAACAGTTTCTGGGCGGCTACAGTGTAATCAACCCACTTCCGGTTGGGACTGCTTTCCTATATATACTTAATGTATGATTGAGAACCTGTATGACCTTATTCTTATCCGAGAATGACATTTTCCTCCCTTGCTTTTAAACCCCCACACTTCATCCATCCCCCACATACGCCGTTGAATTTTAATAAGATGTGATCCTCCTGTATCACTAAGGTTCCGCAATGATCCTGCCCATGTTGTTTGTGCATATTTAAGGAATTGAATGTTTTAACTCTGGCTTTACTGAGTGGACTTCCTATGTCTATGTTCATACTTTCTGAGTGTTTGTTTGGCAAGAATATTCCAGCCTGTTTCATTAACCACTCCACAACCCACATGAGCAGGGTCCAAAATCCAATGAAACGAGATTGCATTGCCTTTGATTTGCATTTTATATATGATTAGATATATTTCATATATTATCGTCGATTCTAGATGAAGAACTACCTGATCGTATACTCGATAAAGCTGAACTCAGCTGTCAGATGCAAATTACCTTATTATGATTTTCTTTCTCCTCTATACCATTTCAATGACAGTACCACAATGGCCAACAACATCTGTGGTGTAATACTGACACATGGTCTGTTACCCTTTTTCTTGATATGTGTATTACTCACTGGATGTATACTGCTGGCCCCTGCACGCCCTGTCTCTGGATCTTTGGACCATCTGTAAATATGATTGTGACAGTCCGAGTGATATCTTGCCAAAAATAATTCTGGACTATGCGCCCATACTTGTAGTTCTTTAATTTCCTTTAACTCCCTTCTGTATATTGAGGTCTACACTTGGCAATGGAATAACCAGGGTGCGAATGGACGAGAGTGGAACTGTGGGGCAATACTGTATTGATTAAATCCTATACTTGCGTGCTTAACATCGGCCATCCATCCAACAAACTTGTTAAATGTGACTCATTGTGCTCCCAGCAAGTCTTTCAAAATACTGTTTCCGCACAGGATGACTATCACTTGTGGCCCCTTAGAAGGTTATACGCCAAGTAATAGCCGAACATTAAACTTCCATCTTCTATTATCCTTAAAGAGCATTTCTGCCCATTTCCACCTTGTAATGCTGGAGATGTTTTAAAAGCTCCACTACAAATCCTCAGGCCTGAGCTTGTAGGACATCGCAGGCTTGTTTAAGGTTTGATTTCTACTGGCTGCATTGCTATAACCCTATCGAATACAGTCTCATAGTGCAATATATATCAGAATGATGACCTACTTGCTCACCACTCTGTCCCGCCAACACGAAGACATGAGACTCGTTAATATTGCACTGTCCTTATGATGCTCATGAGCTCGCACACGCAAATATATTTATTAACTTGTTCAGAAGTGATGACGATATAAGCTGCATGTACTGTCCGTTTGTAAACAAATGACCTGCGTCTTAGGTACCGACCGGTCGAATCCCGAATTTATATGTCCATTTATGACTTTTTTACATTTATTTTGAAGTTTCCTATATGTGGCTCCATGCTTAGGCTTTCTGTCCAACCAAACACGCAAGCAAAATCTTATTGATGATTGAACATTGTTCAAAGGAGGTTGGGCTCCATAGCAATCTGTTAACGATTATAGAGAGCAATGTTCTGCGTTTTTAAAACAAGATGACCTGCGGTCTTAGCTACTGACAGTTTGATCCCCGCATTTATTTGGTCGGGCATTTCTTCCGACTTCCAGCATTTGCAGCTTGTATTTCTTTCCGCAACATGTGCTACATTGCGGACCCTTTGCGCCGACCAGGCAAAACAAACAAACAACGAGGAGGGGAAGAATTCCGAGGGAGGCGCCCATCAATTCCGTGCAAAATACAAAAGATTTTACACACCATACTTGGATGTCCAACATGATAAATCATAGATGCCATTATATTGAACAACAACGGACGCACCCGATATTACACTTGGCGGAAGTAACCAATATATACACAACACATAACACTATATATTGATACTTACCACCAAGCACACTCTGCATAAATTCATCTGGCGGCATTATTGGTACCCAGACCAAATACCCCAATAGATTACACAGAAAGACCAAAGAACACCTTCGCTTCCAGAGGCAAACAACAGACATCACAAGAAAGGAAAGGGAAGGGCCTTTATACAATATCAAAGGAAGAATGCAATGCAACTACTGAAGTCCTTCGTTGGTCTGCGGTGAGCTTATCCTGAATGTAGTAATGAATTCTAAACCAGCAGAACAAGAGAATGCATCTGTAATATCGCGACCCCTACGGAGACGCACACATTGATATGGGTGAACTAGACAGCAGGTTATATGTTGTCTAGAGTAACACTATGGTTACAGCCCTTTCTATGTAACATTCTTTGCATGATTTTGGCATAAATGGCATGTCAGGGGCAATAGGTCTGTGGCTAAGATGGAATCGAAGGGG